CCAGTAAAAGGAAAATTTTAATTTAGTATAATGTAAAAAGGAACGGAGGGAATATAATTGTATAAGATAAATCGTATTCCACTAGTAGTTTTGAAGTAGACTATTTCTTGAATCTGATGATCTTCGAAGCCTTTTGCTAAATACTACTGCAGTTCTCAAAGAATTGTCTGAAGATTGAAGACTCTGGACTTTCAAAATGATGAAGATGCAAAATGTACCATGCCCTCCCAGCTAATAGGATTTTTCACAGTCAAGTTAATAAATAAAAAAATGATTAATTTTAAATGATTAATTTGCTCTTTAATTTCTTTGTTCCTTTTCAAGTGTAGTGAAGGGTTCCTTAATGCAGATTATTAGCAATCTAAAATCTTCAGCATGATGATATCCCTAGGTTCAATCCTTCCGCTCATAAACTCCTTACATATATTATGGACCCGTTTGTCCATAATTTTATTTTTCTTTTTATCGATTTTTTTTTCCGAAAATGTGTTTGTCCATGAAATTTTGCAAGTTTTTTAAAAAATTTCGAAAATGAGATTTTCAAATATTCCCCACTTGTAAAACTGCAATAATTTTTCAAGTTAAATGCATGTCCAAACACAATTTCAAATTCCAAATATCATTTTTCAACTTAACTCCAAATATTATTTTTTTTCAAAATTTATAATTTTTATGTCCAAACGCCTACTATATATAGTTGTAAAATCGGAGCAGACGACGTTTACTCTGAGGTGCGTTAATATTTGCATTGGCTATATTTTTAGAATATTTGCTTGCTTCCTTTCGCAAGTGAAAAGTTTCTTTTTATACGTTAGTGTGTATATAAAATTCTTTCTCATTACAATTGTTAAATTCCATAGATCTCATTGAGCTATAGGATTAAAATTCACACGTGCATCTACAAGTTTTGCTTTATTTTCTCCTTGTTGATCAGCTTCCACGTAAAGGAACCCTAATCTTGGAAGTAAGATCATGTTGAGTATAGTGGGTCCTGGCTATTTATCAGTTAAGTGTAATTAGTTGTAACTACCTAGAGTTAGTTAGTTGTACAAATATAAATAGAGTAGTTTACTAGCTTTTTGTACTACTGTTCATTTCTTACTTGAAGGTTAATAACAGAATGAGCTTCCTTTCAGTTTTCCTCTTATTCTCGCACCTTCTAGAACATATAGTTCTGCCATAGCTGAAACTTCTTAACATGGTATGGTGCTCGATTATCTGAAGCTCTGTTGTGATATAACATGAGTAATTCAATTGCATCAGTAGTTCCTCATTCGCATTGATCGATCGAGCTATATTTTCTCAACACATAAGACTTCTCGCTCAATCTAGGGTTTGGGAATTTTAATTTTCTGGTTGAATCACAGTCAGACCGTATCTAATTTCGCTTGAGATTGACAAATTTTAAAGCTTTATTTTCTGAAGTAATTCCTACTGTGATAATGGTGATCAATGAAGAAGCTGTTGATTCTCCATTTGCTACTTCAATGTCTACGCCGACTACAGAGGTGGTTGATCACAATCACCCTCTCTACATTCATCCTTCTGATACTCGAGGTTCTGTGCTCATTTTTATTCAACTTTAAGGTTCAGAAAATTATTCTATTTGGAGTAGATTTATGAAAATCGTGTTGCATGGTAAAAACAAATTAGGCTTTGTCCTAGGCACTTGTAGAAAAAACAGATATGATCCTAGTTTATATGGATTGTGGGATATATGTAATGCTATTGTGCTTGCTTGGATAATGAATACAATTTCACCAAGCTTAATCAGTTCAGTGATCTATGCCTCTGATGCACACTCGGTATGGGAGGATCTTAAGGAGAGATTTGATAAAGATAATGCATCTAGGGCTTGTTATTTGCACAAGAAAATTGCCACATTGACTCAAGGCATATCCTCTATCTCAGTGTACTATACTAAACTGAGAGAACTTTGGATACGTATGAAATATTAACTCCACCACTTACTTGTGGTTGCGCTGAATCAAGAAAACACGTAGAACACTATCAAATACAGAAGTTATATCAGTTCCTCACAGGTCTAAATAAATCTTATGAGAATGCAAAGAATCAGGTTCTTATGACTCGACCCTTGCCTAATCTGAACCAGGAGTTAATTTAGAAAGTCAGAGAATTGGTGGAAAAAGTGTATATGCTGAAAGCAATGAAGCAACCATGATGAGCAATAAGGTGTATATTGGAGGTTACAATGGTGGAGGACAGCCTAATACTATCTCTAATGGAGGTTACAAACCTAGAAACTCCTTTGATAAAGCTGTAGTTTGGTGTGATTACTGCAAATATAAGGGTCATACTAGAGAAAACTGCTTCAAGCTTCATGGTTACCCTTCTGACTTTAACAACAAGAGGAAAGAAAAAGCTCCATATGCGCAAGCTAACAGTGTGGTTAATTCTGGTATTCCAACTTCAGAGTCACAAGGACAGGGACATTAGATGTCAACAACTCTAGCTCAATTCTTTACTCAGGAACATTATCAGTAGATTTTACATTTGTTGAACAAGGACAAGGAAGTTGAACATGTAACCAATGCTGTTACTGTAGGGCCAACGAATATTGTACATGCATTTATGACAAGTTTGGTGCATAGTAACTGGATAATAGACATAGATGCTACAAACTATATGGTTCATAGTTTGAACCTGCTAGAGAAGTATTATGAAATGCTAGAGAATGTTAGGAGTAAAGTTCATTTATCAACTGGAGAATAGGTGTCTATCACTCATACTGGTATTTGTTCTTTTTTCAATGATAAGAAATTTCAGAACATTCTTCACATTCCAGAATTCAAATATACTCTCATCTTAGTGTCTAAACTCACAAAGGAATTGAGATGTCTGGCAGCATTTTATCCTAACTTCTGTGTCTTTCAGGAACTCTCAAGTGGGAAGGTATTGGGGATTAGTAAGGAAGAGCCGGGCCTGTACATCCTTAAGACATATGACAGAAAAGTATTCAATCAACAAGTCCCTCTTCAAATAATGTCTCATTCTACTTCAACTGTAAATACCTTATCAGGTGACATCAATAAATGTAGTAATCTAGCAGATAATAAGTCTTATGCTATATCTTCCTTATGGCATCAAAGGTTAGATCATGCTCCTTTAAATATTTTGAGGTCAGTAAATGCTTTGCATAACATGCAGTTAAGGCAACATCATTGTACTGTGTGTCCCATGGCCAAGCAATCAAGACTACATTTCCTTGTTAGCTCTTCTTACTCTAAATCTATATTTAACATTGTGCATGGTGATATTTGGGGACCTTATAGAGTGCCTACTCAAGATGGCAAGAGATATTTTTTAACTTTAGTAGATGACTATTCCAGATATACATGGCTATTTTACTGCATTCTAAATCAGATATTATTGAAGTGTTGAAAACCTTTTTAGCAATGATCTCCACATAGTTTGACAGTAGACTCAAATGTTTAAGAACAGACAATGGAATACAGTTCCTCAATGATTAGCTACAGACCTTATTGAAGAATCAAGGCATAGTACACCAGAGCTATTATACATATACCCCTCAATAGAATTGGGTTGTTAAGAGAAAACACAGATCTATTTTAGATATGGCTCGAGCACTCAGATTTCAAGCTTTTTTGCCTTTAAGATTCTGGGGAGAGTGTGTCTCTACTACAGTATATCTTATGAATAAGTTGCCTACTGTTTTACTACAAGGCAAATCACCCTTTGAGAAGCTCTTCCAAAGGAGTCCAACTCTGCAACATCTGAGGGTATTTGGAAGCATTTGCTATGGTACTCAGGTGGAGAAAGGGGACAAATTCTGTCCTAGAGCAATCCTAGCTACTCACATGGGATATTTATCCTCTCAGAAGGGTTATGTCCTCTATGACTTGTGCTCCAAAAGATTCGTTGTCAGCAGGGACACTGTCTTCAAGGAAAAAGTGTTCCCATTCAAGCATATGTCCTCTGGTGTATCTCCCCTTTTTCTTGTCTTGGAGTTTGTAGAACAACCAACTCAGTCAGATTTTTCTCCTAGTGGTGGTTCCTTACCTACAATATCTCCAAGACTAAACAATGCTAATATTGCTGATACTACTCCAGCCCCTCTCACTCCTGATCAGTCTCATATGTCCACACCTATCTCTCATCATGTATCAGGCTGTGAACCATCTGCCCCTTCTGTGCCACTCAGAAAGTCTTCTAGACTTACCAAACCACTGGTGTGGTTAGCAGACTATGTAGTTCCACAAAAGAGGTCAGCTTGACCTTATCCCATGTCCAACTATGTGGCATATGATCATTTGTCTCCTGTCTACAGGTCTTCTCTTGCTGCATTCTCAGCCATTATGGAACTCATTTTTTTCTCAGAAGCCAGTCAAGATCCTAAGTGGGTTGAGGTTGTGCAGGCTGAGATCACTACTCTTGAAGAGAACAACACTTGGTCCATTGTCTCCCTTCCTCCTGGGAAGGTTCCCATAGGCTACAAGTTGATGTTTAAAGTCAAATACAAGTCTTCTAGTGAAGTGATAAGATACAAGGCCAGGTTGATAGCTAAAAGTTACAGTCAACAGGAAGGTTTAGATCATACAAAAACCTTCTCCCCAGTAGATAAAATGGTCACTGTAAGAGCTGTAGTTGCCTCGACTGCTGCTTCTGGTTGGCATGTGTTTCAGATGGATATTCAAAATGCTTTTCTTCAAGGAGATTTTTTAGAGGAAGTGTACATGCATATTCCTGAAGGCTTTTCAAGCCAGGGGGAGTGCCAGCAGCTGCGCAAACTACATAAGTCTCTGTATGGATTGAAACAGGCTCCTAGGCAGTGGAATCTAAAGTTAACTGAAGCATTAGTGGATATGGGCTTTGTTCAATCTTATATGATTACTCTCATTTTACAAAGAAGGTAGACTCAGAACTAGTAGTCATTAGTCTATGTGGATGACCTTCTGGTAATAGGAAGTAGTCTGGCCTTGATAAAATAAGTTAGGAACAATTTGCAAGAGAGGTTTAAGATGAAAGATCTTGGTGAACTCAAATACTTTCTAGGCATTGAGTTTTCTAGATCTCAGGAAGGCATAGTTATGTGTCAAAAGAAGTATGCTCTAGAACTAGTGTCTGAGCTAGGCCTACCAGGTGGAAAGCCAACAACTACACCTTTAGAATTCAATCATAAGCTCATATCCATTGAATATGACAAGCATATACCCAATGACAATACTACAGTGGACAAGGAACTTGAAGACAAAGGAGGCTATCAGAGGCTAGTTGGTAGGTTGTTATACTTAACCATGACAAGGCCTGGCACTGCCTTTGTGGTTGAAGTACTCAGTCAGTATATGAATGTACCTAAGATGTCTCACATGGAGGTTGCCTTAAGAGTAGTAAGGTATATCATGACTGCTCCTGGCCTTGGACTGTTCATGCATGCTAAGGCAAGCAAGCAGCATATTGTGATTCTGATTGGGAAGCTTATGTGGAGAACAAGAGATCAGTGATAGGCTATGAAGTGAAATTTGGTGAAGCATTGATATCATGGAAGTATAAAAAACAGGGAACTGTGTCCAAGGGTTATGCTGAAGCTAAATTTTGAAGTATGGCTGCTACTGTAGCAGAGGTGGTGTGGCTAATAGGACTCTTCAAGGAGTTGGGAACTGATGTGCAGCTTGTCCAACTTCATTGTGACAGTAAAGCTACTATACAAATTACAGCTCATTTGATCTTTCATGAGAGAACCAAATGTATCGATATTGACTGTCATTTTGTGAGAGAGAAGATTGTACAAGGCTTGATTCAAGCACAACATATCAGAACAATAGAGCAGCTGGCAAATTAGTTAACTAAGGGTCTTTGCAAGCCACAACATGAATACCTATTAGGCAAGCTGGGTATAAATGATGTATTTCATCCATCAGCTTGAAGGGGAGTGTTGAGTATAGTGGGTCTCGGCTATTAATCAGTTAAGTGTAATTAGTTGTAACTACCTATAGTTATTTAGTTGTACAAATATAAATAGAGTAGAGTACTAGTTTTTTGTATTACTATTCATTTCTTCCTTGAAGGTTAATAACAGAATGAACTTCCTTTCAATTTTTCTATAATTCTCGCACCTTCTAGAACATATAGTTCTGCCAACTTACTGGGTTGCGGGCAGAGAAAAGCGGAGGTGGGGACTCGGGTCGGAGCGCAGCGTAAGCTTCTCAACAAATCACTGACTTTCTGTGTTCAATAGACCCAAATAAAAGGGGAAAAAGTCATATATATAATCCATGTATCATATGTGTATAATCGTGTATAATCTATGTAATCAACTATGAAAAAATCAATCTGGTCGGATATTCGTGTAAAGATCCTAGTAAAGAAGTCATAAATTATGCAAAGGAGAAATTCTTAGACAAACACAGAAAAATCGATTGTTTTGGTATCGATAAAGATATTATTAAAAATCATCTCAGTGAAATTTTAACTCAGACTTGACTTTACAAATATGACTATAATTGATTTGAAGTAAAGTAACATGATAACACTTTCGATATTTTTGAAAAGTGATCATTAGGTTCCAATACATATTAAAGAGTCATTTGTACTAACACTACTAGAAAATCGGCAAAAATCGACCAAGGTTGATCGATCAACTTTGGTCAGTCAAAAAATCGACCAAAGTTGGTCGATTTTTCAAAATATTTTTTTTAATTTTTTTTTTTTACGAAATCGACCAATTTTGGTCGGTTTTCTTTGGCGCAAAAATGCGGGAAACTATTTTTGAGTCCCGCGAAATTTATGTTTCAAAAAACCGACTAACTTTGGTCGGTTTTTCAATTAAAATAAATAAAAATTAATATTAAAAATACCGACCAAAATTGGTCGGTTAATTCGGCCGGTCATTTAAAAAAACCGACCAACTTTGGTCGGTTATTTTCGTGCGAAAATACAATTAAAGAGTATAAATCAAATAAAAGAGAGTCTTAAAACAAAATGTATCGATGGTCTAGTGGTAGAATAGTATCCTGCCACAGTACAAACCCTGGTTCGATTCCCAGATGGTGAATCTTTTTATTACACAATTAAAATACCGACCAACTTTGGTCGATTTTTTTTTTGCAATATTTATTTTTTTGAATTTAATTGACCGACCAAACTTGATCGGTAATTTCCGACCAACTTTGGTCGGTATGCCTTTCCGACCACAAAAATATCGTCTACACGTAAATGGTCGCGTTTTGGTCGGTTTTTGGCCATTATCGACCAGCGTTAATCGATTTTTTTGATCGATTTTTACCGGATTTCTAGTAGTGTAAAACGTTTGCGGTCCTTTGGTGCTTGGCAACAATTTATACATGACGGGGTAGCAATCTTCTTATCTCTCGAAGGTGGGTAAGTCATGTACGACACACCACCCATACAATAAAATGGACAAATCTTGGCTTCTGCGGATTCGACATAATTTCATTCCAGTTCGAAAACTGCTTCAAAGACAATAAACAGTAAGATAATAATGCAACTTACACAAATTTAAACAATAAATAAAAAAGGCAGCCCGATGCACTAAGCTTCCTCTATGTGCAGGGTCCGAGTTGGGTCGGACCACAAGGGTCTATTGTACACAGACTTACCCTATATTTCTGCAAGAGGTTGTTTCCACGGCTCGAATGCATCACCTCATGGTCACATGGCAGCAACCTTACCAGTTACACCAAGGCTTCCCTCCTTATACAAATGTAATGACCCGATCAGTCGTTTTGAGATCTAGCACGTCGTTCGGTAGTTTGAGACCTGGAGTAGCTTCACCCCATGTATCATGACTTGTACGTGTGGTCGGAATTGAATTTTGGGAAGTTCAGAGTTGATTCGGATGAAAAATTCTCAATTCGGAAGCTTTAAGTTGGAAGAGTTAAATAAGGTTTGACTTTGAGTAAATAATCTCGGAATTAGGATTTGAAAGTTCTAATAGGTTCATATGAAGACTTTGGACTTGGACGTATGTTCGGGTAGAGTATCTGGTCGCCCAGAAGCATTTCGACGCTTATTGTGGAAAGTTGGCATTTTGAAAGTTTTAGAAATTCCTAAGTTTGATTTGAAGTGGACCTTGGTGTTATCGATATCCATTTGGGATTTCGAGCCTCGTAATAGCTTCGTTATGTCAGTTGGGACTTATGTGTAAAATTTGAATTCATTTCGGGTTGATTTGATATGTTTCAGCACTAGTTTTGGAAATTGAAAGACTTAAAAATTCATGAGTTTGATTTGAGGTGCTATTCGCAATTTTGATAATGATTGATGTGATTTGAGGTTTCGAGTAGGTCTATGTTATGTTATAGGACTTGTTGGTATATTCGGATGGGGTCCCGAGTGGCTCGGATGAGTTATGGACGAGGTTCGGGTCATTTTTTTATTAAGGCTGATGGCAGAGGTTCTGGCGTGTCCGCATATGCAGAGGGCTGATCGCAGATGCGGCACTTTGGTCGCAGAAGCGAAATTTGGACTGGAAGGGGGAAGCCGCAGTGAAATTTGGACTGGAAAGGGGAAGCCGCAGAAGCGGAATACTGGGAGTATCTGTGCGTCCGCAGAAGCGGCATTCTTGATCGCAGAGGCGGAAGGCAGCGCAGATGCTGAAGCTTGGATTGCACCTGCATTTGCGCAGAAGAGAAACTCTTTCCGTAGGTGCGACGGCTGACCTCCAGTGCTTCTCCGCAAATGCAAAGTTTTGGTCGCAAAAGAGACGGCGCAGGTACGGCTACCTTTCCGCATGTGCGGAAAATCGCTTGGAAAAATGCTATGTTAAGTACGGGGGTTTGACTCATTTTCATTTCATTTCTTCCATGGGAGCCGACCTTAGAGCGATTTTGGAGCTCCATTTTCATCGTCAATCATGAGGTAAGTGATTTCTACAAGTTGTAAGTTAAGTATACGAATTTAGGCTTGTAAATTCATGAAATTTTGTAGAAATTGTGGGATTTGGAAGAAAACTTAGGAATTGGTAATTTGGGATTTTGACCACGATTTTGGAAATAAAATTAGGAATAAAGTACATATTTGAGTTCATGGTGTCATGAGTAATGTTCATATTCGAAAATCTTCGAAATCCGGGCACGTGGGCCCGAGAGTTGACTTTATTAACTTTTCGAGCGGAGTTAAAAATTATTATAAATTATTAAATTATATGAATTGGAGTATATTTTGGTTGATTTGCATATTGTTTTATTAGTTTCAGAATGTTTGGCTTTGAGTCGAGGAGTTAGAGAGGCACTGGTGCCGGTTATAGAACTTTGGAGCGAGGTAAGTCTCCTGTCTAACCTTGTGAAGGAGAAACTACCCCCTAGATGATGTAATGGTTATGAGCTACTAGTTGTAGGTGCTACGTACGCTCAAGGTGACGCGAGTCAGTACTTAGCTAAAGCATGTTTATGTCCGGGTAGACTTAGAACTTTATCATGTAATATTTGAATTATTTGAACTCCATTTGGTAGCTTAAATAATTGAATTTATAATGGAAATTGATTTAGAATTACATATATATATTATGCCGAGCTTTATCACTTTGAGTTATTGGCCAATTTTTAAGAAACGATAAAGGTTATATTCAATTTAAGCTCATGTATTTGTATTGTAAGCACGTGACTCATAATTCGATAAGTTCCTTCCTTTCTTATGGAGCGGCCCGAACGCCTCGACAGTATATTGATATGAATCTCTGGTTCGTGCAGGTCGACCTTCGGCAGTGTACACGCCACTCTCCATCGGGTCGTATGACCTTGGCACAATCATGCGTTATATCGCTAGCAGTCCGAATATTTACGAGATTTTTCTTTCACTGATGCCTGGAATTATTATGGTATTCCTTATCCGCTTGTTACTGGAACTTAATATATTTGAGATGTTGAGATAGAATACAAGTTGGCATTTTGAAAGTTTTAGAAATTCCTAAGTTTGACTTGAAGTAGACCTTTGTGTTATCGATACCCGTTTGGGATTTCGAGCCTTGTAATAGCTTCGTTATGTCATTTGGGACTTGTGTGCAAAATTTAAATTCATTTCGAATTGATTTGATATGTTTCGGCACGAGTTTTGGAAATTGAAAGACTTGAAAATTCATAAGTTTGATTTGAGGTGCTATTCGTAATTTTGACATTGATTGATGTGATTTGAGGTCTCGAGTAGGTCTGTGTTATGTTATAAAACTTGTTGGTATATTCAGACGGGATATCGAGTGGCTCGGATGAGTTTTGGACGAGGTTCGGGTCATTTTTTTATTAAGGCTGATGACAGAGGTTCTGGCATGTCCGCATATGCGGAGGGCTGGTCGCAGATGTGAGCCCGCAAATGCGGCACTTTGGTCGCATAAGCAAAATTTGGACTGTAAGGGGAAATCCGCAGAAGTGACATTTGGACTGGAAAGGTGAAGCCGCAGAAGCGGAATACTGGGCGCATCTGCGCGTCCGCAGAAGCGGCATTCTTGATCACAGAGGCGGAAGGCAGCGCAGATGCTGAAGCTTGGATT